TCATCCATGCGCCAATGAGCAACTCTCATAGGAATGAATGAGGCCCCGCCTTCCACACTGTATCCAGTTCTTATTATACATCCATGCCCTATACGCTGTGAGTTATTCCTTCACATCTACAGTTGCAAGAAAAAGTATGTGACCCCTTTGGAACTGCCTGGATTTCTGCATAAATTGGTCATAAAATGTGTTCTGATCTTCATCTAAGTCACAACAATAGACAAACACAGTCTGCTTAAGCTAAAAACCACACAAACAATTATATGTTTTTATGAACACACAATGTAAACATTCACAGTGCAGGGTGGAAAAAGTATGTGAACCCTTGGATTTAATAACGGGTTGATCCTCCTTTGGCAGCAATAACCTCAAGCAAACGTTTCCTATAGTTGCATATCAGACCTTCACAATGGTCAGGTAGGAATTTTGGACCATTCCTCTTTACAAAACTGTTTCAGTTCAGCAATATTCTTGGGATGTCTGGTGTGAATCGCTCTCTTGAGGTCATGCCACAGCATCTCAATTGGGTTGAGGTCAGGACTCTGACTGGGCCACTCCAGAAGGCGTATTTTCTTCTGTTGAAGCCATTCTGTTGTTGATTTACTTCTGTGCTTTGGGTCGTTGTCCTGTTGCATCACCCATCTTCTGTTGAGCTTCAATTGGTGGACAGATGGCCTTAAGTTCTCCAGCAAAATGTCTTGATAAACTTGAGAATTCATTTTTCCGTCGATGATGGCAATCTGTCCAGGCCCTGAGGCAGCAAAGCAGCCCCAAACCATGATGCTCCCTCCACCATACTTCACAGTTGGGATGAGGTTTTGATGTTGGTGTGCTGTGCCTTTTTTTCTCCACACATAGCGTTGTGTGTTCCTTCCGAACAACTCAACTTTGGTTTCATCTGTCCACAGAATATTTTGCCAGTAGTGCTGTGGATCATCCAGGTGCTCTTTTGCAAACTTCAAACGTGCAGCAATGTTTTTTCTGGACAGCAGAGGCTTCCTCCATTGTATGACCAATTTATGCAGAAATCCAGGTAATTCCAAAGGGTTCACATACTTTTTCTTGCAACTGTATACTTCAACGGAATATCAAAACAGCGGTCCGGGGTGCAAAACTCATCATTGACAGCGACTCTCTACCACACAAAACAACACCATTTATCTAAACACCTATCATGACAGGGCACCCACAGCAAAGTAACAATTCAAAATGAATTAAGTCGGCGGCCCACATTGAAGATTACTTAGGCCTACCTTTAATGATCAAATCACTTAAACACAAAGTCCATCCTCCTGTCCTTTTGGATGAAGCACTTGATGGCGGGGTCATGCAGCTGATCCTTTGCCACTCCAGTTTATTATTGTAACTCAATCTTGAAAATGACTCGGTTAATAATTTCGCAACAATGTCATCACTATCACTGAAGTGAGCCATCATGAATAAACTTATGCTAATGATAAATCTATCCTAGGGAGGCGCCCAGGTGACATCCTAACTAGGTGCCCGAACCACCTCAACTGGCTCCTTTCGACGCGAAGGAGGAGCGGTTCGAGTCCCTCCCGGATGACTGAACTTCTAACCTTATCACCTTATCCCTAAGGGAGACACCAGCCACCCTGCGGAGAAAACCCATCTCGGCCGCTTGTATCCGCGATCTCGTTCTTTCGGTCATGACCCATCCTTCATGACCATAGGTGAGGGTAGTAGTGTTAATTTCGTCAGCTATTTTTGTATTTAGTCGTAGTCATGTGTCAAATGTCCTTTTTAGTTTTACTCATATTTAGTCACCGTCATCCTGTTTTTAATTTAGTCAAGACTAAAAGTCTGAGCATTTTAGTCTAATTTTAGACAAAGAAAACAGTAACTATTTTAGTCAACATTTAGTCGACTAAAAGTCTGAGCATTTTAGTCTTATTTTAGTCAAAAAAAACTATTTTAGTCTACTTTTTGTCAATGAAAACTGTTTACATTTTTGTCTTTTTTAGTCATCAAATTATATTGAACATTTCAGTCCAACTAATCTAGCCAAAACCAATAAGTTGCCATTTTAGTCAAACTTATTTCACAATAAGATTATATGTTATCCTTATTTGATGAAAAACACAGGTTGAATGTTTAAGAATGCAGCTTTGCAGAGAGCATCTGGTCTAGTGGTTTGATGGTATCAATTTAAGGAATACATTCAGACATGGAACATGTTAGGATTTGCATATTTATTTTAAATATATAAACACACACAACTCAACTATACAGGGTAGTGTACAATCACACACACCAATTGCAAAATAAAATAAACAGATAAATTAAAAAGGTTTAATAAATAAAAGTTTAAACAAGGCATGGGTAGAATAACAACCATATGGAAAGGTGCAAATAAAAAGTATGCGTCTGTCTTGTTTTTGTTGTTTAAACTTGAAAACTGAAAAACGTGGGTTTTGAACCAGTGAGCTACAAAAACTTTTATAAAGACTGAGCCCAACAACTCCTGTACCAACTGAATTTTGGAAAAAGACTGCACTCTGTTTATAACATTAAACATATATAATAATGTAATGTTATTGTGGGAGTGTGTGGGTTGGTGGCTTAGTTGGCCTCACCCGGCTCAGCTAAAGGCTGGGGTGGGTCTACAAACCTGTGGGGCATTGGTTAATCAGTGCAGCACAGGTTAAGTCAGCCACCAGCACACACACTCGGGAGAGCGCTAACATGTTAGCAAGGACAACCTGCTCTGCTTCATGGCATGTCATTCATTCCTGTCATGTCTTCACCTTTGCAATAAACCAGACTATTTGCAACCACTACTGGCATTGTAGTATTGGCACTGCTACACGGCTTCTTTTGGGGCTCCTCCAAGGACCAGGCAAAGAGTCTGGTTTATTGCAAAGGTGAAGACATGACAGGAATGAATGACATGCCATGAATTAAATGTGTTATGTTGTTTAAGTGAAAACTGAAAAAGACCATAACAACCATAACAATCTCTGCTAGCCATCACACCATTTACACCTGGTTTAGCTTGAGAAAAGCACTTCTTTCCAATGTGGTTCTTGCTCTGTTGCGGCGGCCGCTTGTGAGGTCACCGGTTACACTGAAGACACGTTCGGCAAAGGCTTGTGATGCTGGCATTGCCAGAAGGTCCAAGGCCAGAGGTTTCAGAAGTGTAAATACAGTGCTACTCTGAGAGATCCAAAACTCCATCCCAGATTCCTCAGTGTTAGCAGCATGGGACAGCCCTTCTTTGTATTTTTTTATCTCTTGCCTGATACTAGAGGTCTCGGAGGTCCTGGGCCTCGATGGACGACTGGGGCTGAAAAACCTAAATCTAGGCCGCTTTGGGCAATGGGTCGTCTCTGGAGCCACTGTATCCACAATCTCCTCTTCCTCGTTTTCACTCACCTGCTCTTCCACTTGAAGTCTTGGTGGCACACTGCGAGTGATGTAGTCTTCCGCCACTTTTAGAAGATTCTGAATTCCCTCATCATTGTTTTCAACAATGGCTTCAGCCGATACACCGGGGTCAACAAAACATGCAGCTGCAGCAAGGGGAGAGAACTTGTTGGCCGTGACATCCAAGAAGCAGCTGAAGCGTTGCTCCATATTTGCACTCATCTTCTGTGCCAGTGTAGCTGCGTCCCTGTAGCTCCTTGCATGCGCTAGGGAGAACTCAGACAGGTGATTCCTCAAGTCCAATAGTGCAGGCACAACAAGGGATAGGGAATTTGTGTCACTTTCAAGCACCTTTGTGTGTTCTGCAAATGGAACGAGCAAATCTTTGAGAATGGCTACCTTCTGCCACTCACTGGGTAGAAGGCTGTCCCAGCTCATGGAGTCAGCTACTGAGGTAAGATGGTCCTTCACTTCAAGAGCACGGGACATCATCAAATAAGTACTGGACCATCTGGTTGGACAGTCTGTGATGAGGATGAGTCCACACTGTTGCAGCAACCGCTCTGTGGCAACAGATGATTTTCGAAACAGTTTCACCAGTTGCCTGACTTTGCCCAGCAGTCGTTTGATTGTGAGTTCCTTCTGGATCATGTTGACAACAAGCTGGAGGGTATGGACCACGCAGGGGGTCCTTCTCTCCAAGGTTTCGTACCTAATGAAAATTGGAAAACAGAACACAAAGACTTTTCATATTACCCAATCCATGAAGAATTAATTTGATATATTAGCACATCATTTATCACCACATGGAATGTTAAAAATGCTGATTGCAGATCACATTATAGGAGAAATATCTAAAACGGTGAATAGTCACAGTATGTGGGAAGACTGCATTGGGTTTTCTGTTTGGCATACACGTCACATGTATAAGCATTATGCACACTGCAGACTGACCTTTCGTCTTCTTCTCCCTCCTCATCACTATCCTGGAGATTTTCCTCTTCAGAACTGGAGTCCTCTTCAGCGTTGCAATGAAAAGCAGCAACCATGTTGCTTCCATTGTCCGTAATAATGGTGAGAATCTTTTCTTTTGGGATCCCCCATTCTTCTTTACTCTCCTCCACAAGAGCAGCGATAGCCTGAGCAGTGTGCGGGTGAACCATTTGCTTTATTATTATATGTTCAGCCTTATTATCCTGGGGGTTAAAATAACAAGCACTGACTGCAAGAAAAGATGCTGTGAGCCCCTTTTTAGTCCATATATCTAAGCCAATAGTTATTTTGCGTGCCATGGGTCTGTGCTTGAATTTCTCCTTTTCGGCCAGGTACATTTTTTCCACCAGGTTTGTGATCTTAGTTTTTTTCGGCACGGTGAGTCTTTTATCAATTGTTTCCATCATCTTGATGAAACCCTTGTCTTCCACTGTCCGTGGTGGGAGGGCTGTCCGGCCTATCCATTCAGCTATGGCCTCCTCTTTGTGGCGTTGATCCTGTGATTCTTGTTTGTACTTTGTGTAAGTCAGGAATGCACCTGTTATAGCTGACCTCTCCTCTTTCCTGGGTGGTTCCTTTACTGCAGCAGGTTTGTCTGGAATCTAGGACAGGAATACAAACAATGATATCAGGAGTGATGATGCAACATCAGGAAATCCAGTAAATCATTGCTATAATTTTAACTTAATGCAAACAAAGTATCTGTAAAATGAAAACTCTACACAATCAAAACTAGGTGGTATTATACTCACAAAGTAAGTATGTATGCAGATTATGCAGGCATATTACTGCAGACACCTTGTGAGGTATATTTTGTAGGCAATTAATAGTTATAACATATTATCATATGATAAATCAAATGTAATGAAAGCAATGTGCCGTTGTTGCGAAATAACGTTAACAGTTACTAGTAACGTTAGCCCATCATCTAACGTTGTCAGAGACCAACTCAACCCTATGGTAAAGTACCTTTCCTTCCCTTTTTAAGCTCCTTCACAAGTTTCCAAACAATTTGCTGCTAGCATTTGGTTTGGCTAACGTTATAGCATACAACACAGCCTACCCGTTAGCTAACGTTATAGCATAAAACACAGCCTACCTGATGTAACACCATATAGCTGACAAAAAAACAACCTAACGTTTTGTTAACTTACCTCAATTGCTTTGTGGTGAGTCTTGATGTGCCCCTTGAGGTTTGTGTTGTTTTTACCCGCGGATTTATGGCCACATATTGCTTCCCTTCTGAATCTAAAGCAATGCATTGAGTTCTTTCCTCTGCCTCATTGTACACAAAATGGGCCCAGAGATCATCGCATTTCTTTCGCCCAAGCCCTCTATTAGCCATTTCCCTTTCTGTTCGTTACATCCGAGCATGGATCCGAGTCTTCCTTCTGTTCGTAGATCATCCAGTAAAATGTAAAAGTGCCGCGCGTATAACAGACACACAACTGGTGCGCAGCCGCAGCACCGGAAATGGAAGTGCTGGGAGAAAAAAATGACTATCAGAGATGTAACGTTATCATTGATAATATTTCGTCTCGTCATTTTTCGTCAACGAAAGTAAAGAGAGATTTTGGCATAGTTTTGATTTATTAAAATACATTTTCGTCTCGTAATTTTTCGCATGTTGATTTCGTTACAGTTATTGTTTACTGACGTTGGTGCCGTCTCGTCATCGTCTCGTTTTAGTCACTGAAAAAAAGGTCGTTGACGAACATATTTCGTCATAGTTTTAGTCAACGAAATTAACACTAGAGGGTAGGAACGAAAATGGCCCGGTAGACAGAGAGCTTTGCCTTCTGGCTCAGCTCTCTTTTCGTCACAACGGTGCGGTAAAGCGACTGCAGTACAGCTCCCGCTGCTCCGACCCATCTCACGCTCCATTGTTCCCTCACTCGAGAACAAGACCCCGAGATACTTGAACTCCTTCACTTGGGGTAAGGACTCATTCCCTACTTGGAGTGGACAGTCCATCGGTTTCCTGCTGAGAACCATGGCCTCAGATTTGGAGGTGCTGATCCTCATCCCAGCCGCTTCACACTCGGTTGCGAACCGATCCAGTGAGTGCTGAAGGTCGCAGACCGATGAAGCCATCAGAACCACATCATCTGCAAAAAGCGGTTGTGCAATCCTTAGTCCACTGAACTGCAGACCCCCTCCCCCACGAGTACGCCTCGAAATCCGATCCATGTATATTACAAACAGGATTGGTGACAAAGCGCAGCCCTGGCGGAGGCCAACCCTCACCGGAAATGGGTCCGACTTACTGCCGAGGACCCGGACACAGCTCTCGCTTTGGGAGTACAGAGATTGGATGGCCCTGAGTAGAGACCCCCTCACCCCATACTCCTACAGCACCTCCCACAGTGACTCCCTGGGAACTCGGCCATACGCCTTCTACAAGTCCACAAAACACATGTAGACCGGATAAGCATACTCCCAGGCCCCCTCCAGGATCCTTGCAAGAGTAAAAAGCTGGGCGGATCTCATCCACCCCCGGGGCTTTGCCACTGCGGAGTTGTTTGACGACCTCAGTGACCTTCCCCCGGGAGATTGGTGTTGATCCTCCGTCATACTCCAGCTCTGCCTCTAACATAGAGGGCGGAGTTGTCGGGTTCAGGAGTTCCTCAAAGTGTTCCTTCCAAGGCCCTAACACTCCATCAGTTGAGGTCAACAACGTCCCATCCTTACTGTACACAGCTTGGATGGTTCCCTGCTTCCCCCTTCTGAGGTGTCGGACAGTTTTCCAGAACAACTTTGGTGCCGCCCAAAAGTCCTTTTCCATGTCTTCTCCGAACTTCTCCCACACCCGCTGCTTCGCCTCGGCCACGGCTGAGGTTGCTGCCCTTCGGGCCTGTCGGTACCTTGCATCTGCCCTTGCATCTGCCTCGGGAGTCCCCCGGGATAACAAATCCCTGAAGGCCTCCTTCTTCAGACGGCTTCCCTGACCACCGGTGTCCACCAGGAGGTTTGAGGGTTACCGCCCCTTGAGGCACCTAAAACCTTGAGACCACAGCTCCCTGCCGCGGCTTCGGCAATAGAGGCTTTCAACACCGACCACTCTGGTTCAATGTCCCCAACCTACATAAGAATGCCCGAAAAACTCCACCGGAGGTGTGAGTTGA